GCTGAATATTACCTTATATCTTTTGTTCATGTTAAATATATTGTTCCATCTCTAGCCTAAGCTTGTTCTTCATCATGTATTGGTAGTTGTTACGATACAGTGAGTTGGTGTAGACGATGATGTGACTTCCACGTAAGATCTTATAGATTAGGCAGTTATATCATGACAAATCTACAATTTTAGGATTAGGTCTATTATTAGAGCAGTACTAATATCATAGTAGACCATAACTCCACAAATATCCATCCCAACAACTGCTCGCATATTAACTTAAAATAATTAGGTTAATGTGCATAAAATAAACTTGGCGTCCTTAAAGTTCGTGACATAAACTGATGTGGAGATCGTTATGTCGTAGGAAAACAACACTATTTTTTATTAGTGAACTGTTGATAAGCCTCTCCGAATGTAGTAGAGCCGAGCTTATTACACCCGAATTTCGTTCTTGTTCATTATTGAAGCATGATCAGTTGATCCACTCGCAACTTACGACCCAAAATAATGAGACCAATTCCAAGTTTAGATACCAAATTTTGCCAGTAATCAACCCAAATATATCGTCCTTCAGGTTTTCGGTTTCCTGACCGAAAGGAGTGTAAAATCAAAGTAACAAACAAACAAGTCCAAAAGTTCATTAAAATAAATGCAACCAAAACAGCGACGATATTATTATTGAATGTTACAGTTCTTAACCCGTCAAATATTGTCAGTTCTTACTGTAATAGAAGTCTATTGCAAAACGAATTTGAGAATCAATTACGACTTGGCAAATATAGATGAGTTATTCAAGACAATTAAGAGTATGAATTGCTGCATCATGATGTTATGACTAACTTCAGTTCGTGATAAAAACTTCGATCCTAATTCGAAACACCAACTCTTACTATTGGAATAGTTAACATAGGCACTTTATATTTATTCACATTTTGTATGCGAGGTTTTTTAGTAGCTGGTTCCGTGGTAACCTACATAGGCCATTCTAGCTTTTGGACAGACCAATGGACATATTTTTCTCAAAGCACATTCTAACCTTGTCACTTATTGGCTCATTAAACCTGACTCATTTTTGTATTGTACGTGTGTTGATTACTCACCGTATTCATCATGTGTTTGTAACTTATTTTTCGTTCGACTATAATTATTAAGTCATGCTTCATTAATTTGAGTTGGCTCATAAGTCTTCTGTAGTGATATTGGTCCTTACCACACAATCCTCAAAGCTGAACTTGAAGTAACTGGGAAAATAGATCTTTAACATGTAGAAAAGGCCGACAAGAGTGAACGCGGGAATATTTAATCAGTCATATGGCATGGCTCAGACTCCTAGACGTGTTCGTTCTGTATTATTTGTCTTTACTCATATTGAATATGATACTTTATCTTTAGCCCAAATGTGTTCTTTACAAACGCCAAACATTATATCGCGGATTGTTACGATACGATTAGTCAAAATAGATAAATATGTGCCTTTCCTGTGAGATCTTATAGACTAGGTTTTCACATGATGACAAATCTACAATTTCAGTATTAGATTGTAGGGCCAGTGAAGTTCTACTGAGCCCTAGCCAAATCATCCTGCAGTTAGATCACTGAATATCGAGCAAATCATCGATCCTCGTCAAGGTCAAGGACAACCAACGCGCATCAGTTAATCGTAAGCCATGAACTGGCCCATGTGGCAGTGGTCTTACTTTCAATCAGCCAAATACAGAAAGGATTGTAGGTAAACCCTCTGGTACTGTCCAGTGTTCTAGCCACAGATGGTAGTCAACTAAAAAACGAAATAGCTCGCAATAAATAATAGTGAGGCATATACGTCTCTTTGTGCTAAATAGCTTCTCTCAGGGCCAGAGTGTACCGCTTGTAACGAGGCCACGTTACAACGAAAACCCTCTTCATTAAGAGTGACCATGGACTCTGTTAACGTAGCTGGTAAGCAACATAGCGATAAACACCAACGGATCAGCTGGCATATGTGTTCAAAAGAATTACTGGGTTAAAATATAGTAAACTATAAAAAGCTTGCCCTCAATGTAAAAAAAAACATGTGAACAGTTATCACTATGCCTTGGCGCATATAGGCAGGGTGATAAGCGCGTTCTGACTTATCCAGCAGTTACACTTTATGACGATTGAATCTCTCAGCCAGGTAACAGTAAACTTCAGGAATCGTGGGTACATTACGGACGTTTTTAAGATCTGGTCAGGGCGAAGAAAGACGCACACTGTCACGCCCAATTCTGTGAAAAGTGAACTATACTTGTAAGATGACAGCTGTGAAATTGAAATAGATACATTCCCAAACTATTGTGGACCGACTGACCAACTTCAGATATCCAACTACGACCTCAATACTGTTCCCCGATCTCCAATGTATCAGAACAAGAACCGTAGATGAAACTGTTTATGGGGTCAGGAGAAAAATAAAAATGGGAACAGGAATAATATTTTACAAACAAATGTATATTTATACAGTTAGGACTACCGTGAATATTGACCAACAGGAAATGACACGTGAAATAAATATTGACCAATAAGAAAATGACACCATTTCAAGCTAAAGGATAGCATTAGACTTACCAGGATAATTTTTAGGATATTTTTCTGAATATCCCAACAAAAACCCCATAACAAATAGCATCGAGAGTATAAACACACTCGATTTTCTTGTCTACAGAGTTAACAGTGTAAAATCAAGATGAAAAGCGTCTGTATTTGGGGACCCAGTAGGTTCCTTCTCCAGCGTGCATGAAGTTAGTGATACCCACAGAAGTCAGTTTCCGAATAGCCGGATTAGCCAGAGTGAAATAAGTTAAAAGTGAAAAACAAGAGATTCTTGATTTAAATGAGGTTTCGAAGGTTATCAGACACTATGAGATGAAGTTATATTGAGATCCAAACACTAAAAGATATCGTAGTATAGAATAAAATTACTATACAACGAAGAACGAACTTAAATTAATAATTTGCTGAACAATATCTCTCCAAGGCTAACCAGTGAAACGAGTAGCGTATTAGCGGAAATTGACAATACTGTTGTCTGGAATCTCTTTTCATGCAACAATCATAAAAGCAACAAAATTATGGGTCAGAAATGACGAAATACGAAATAACCTTAGAATTATAGGTAAATGTTTCATAGGTTATGAAATCTAAGCTGACTGGTTATCGTAGGAGATGTGCAGTACAATACATACAAAAGTAATCTGGTGTTGGTACTTAGTTGATCGTCTTCAGCTAGGGATGCGCCTATTATGATATATGGCCAATATCAATGTTGAAAACTCATAAAGCCATCTAGTTTGGGGAATTGCTTACTACTAAAAGTGCGTTGCAGCAAGTACATAATAGAGTAGCCAAGTGAGTCATAAAACGAAGGAATGAAGACTGACTTTTATGCCTGTGTGTTTGCTCGTTGGGTTGCAGGAGAATCTACCAACCTGTGTATGACATACTAAGCACTCCAGTTAAACCCTATGTAGACGTTCTGAATATTGCACTAGACAAGGCGACCGTCGTTGAACAGAATATGGAAGAACTAATACTAGAAAAGGGTCATATTATTTTCATTACGGCTTGACCCTATCTGTAGTGCTCTCTCTGAATACATAACAAGGGCGATCTCAGTGGATAGATTGGGGAATTGCCTCGACAACTTCATGCACCCTCACGGCTTATGATCTTTCTTGGGACAGTTTTATTTGATGTCTCGCGACCGGCCATTACTAGACATATTATCTCTGGTATTAATTATTGTTACTATTATAGCGGTAAATAGATCCCTAGAATAAATAACTCTATAGGTCTTCGACATCGGATGCTGACCACATTAGTTTTAATGCACTCGCCTAGCTGAAGGCGCTCGTTCATGCATCCGCACCAGATCACGAGTGGGAACGCCGTGCACAACATCCCCTGCAATCGCTATTCAGAAAAGTTCACACGATCCTCGATATATTGATAGCCTATCAAATATATCTTCAAACCTCTTCGCTTCTGTTTCTTGATTTCACTTGGTGGGTACGATATATAGTGGGACGTGTTACTGGTTAAAGCGTTGTCAACCTCCAAATACTTGTGGCATCTTCACTACTATCACCATCACTGCTACATATTTCAACCCCACAAACCTCTTTTTTATCTGTTATTCCTAAAATCTTACCTGTTTACATTGTATTCACAAATTCTTTGCCTATTGCGACTATTAGCTTCTCTTCATACATGTAATCTTATGATTTTTCATTGTCAACGTGCTAAGTGCTTGTTCTAGAAACCTCATTGACACAGAACAAATGTCCTGATTTGTACTCTAGAAATATTGATTTACGACCATTTATCAAGTTCATTGGCGACTAGATCACCTACACTGGAAGGTATCAACGACCGTAACGTCAATAAGCGAAAACAAATAAACCAACCGCCTCAAAATAATTCGTCATAAGGCTTCTGAATTTAGATAGGTCTCCTGGATAAACGTAAAATTCGTAATGAGTTATAAATTCATGGACAGAAAAGTCATGAGTCTGATCAGTTAACAATTAAGAATAGTGGGATTTTCAAACAGACAAGGACATAGTTTTGTTTCTGCTCATTGTGTGTTTTTGAAATTACTTATCATTCCTGTGGGCATATACAAATGATGGGCTTATAACAATGTGAAACGCGTTTCTAGTACTGGCAACTCAGCATTAAATAGACAATTTAATGGTCGGTGGAGCTACCATAGTGCATACCTGGTCAATCTCGAGATAGGGTAAATTTTGGGGAAACCGCAATAGAAAACTTTGGGAAACCCCAAAACTTTCCCAGGTCGGGGGAAAATCTCCAAAGTTTTGGGGAAATATCAGGTTTTCATCAATGAATCTTATAACACTGGGGTTTTCTCCCAAATTTCCCTAAACTTTAGGAAGAACTACCATATTTATTACGACTATGTGGAAAACTCCAAACTTTACCCAAATTCTCGTGAAGTAGAGAGGTTGGGTGAAACTTTAATTAGCATGTTAACTACTGTCCAATTTGTAAATCAACGATGTCCTCCAACTCCTGTATTGATTCATCAGATAGAGACATCGGATCGACGACGTTGTGATATTCTTGTTGGAATTGTGCATCAGATGTCGGACACATATCCAGCAAATATGGAGGGGAGACATGTCCTATTGGTCTATCAACTTTTAGCATTGCGGTCAGTTTCTCGACCACTATTACAGATTTTCACTCATTTGGCTAAACAAGCATATCGAAGCCTGAATTTATATGGTCTTTATATTTTGATGTATCGAATTCAGTTGTATTGCCTGATAGCTCTTTAGATAGCCACCCCCATTCCAAAATCCAATATCAGAAACGTTATGCTTCAAACTCGTTTCGAAGGCTGTCACACTCAGTCAGTATATTATTGTAAGACAAAACGAGTTGTCACGCTTGGTGCTATAGTATACATGTCATAAGTGATGGTCTCAACCTTTAGTGGAATGGGTTTAACATTGAAGACTTACTAAGTAACCTAAGGACTGCACATATTCTATTATCACATGACCGTTTGGATGGTGTTATCACCTGTTACAGTTACTTAGCTGTCAGTCATCGTGGCCGCTGGCAAGTCATAAAAATATCCTCTGTCGATTAGTAAACATGAGACTAAATGACTGACAAAACCGGTTTAATTATTCAACAGTCCAGGGTATGTGTAGGAATTCGAAAACGAACCTCTACAATGAGTGTGACACATAATGTTTGGGGTACATTACACCTATTTAGAGGTTAAAATCACACAATCGATTAGCGACTTCTTTTAAAAGGATATTAAAGATTTCTCAGTTTAGCTTGTTTTTACCAACATTTTTATTAATGATTGTGTCAGTATCTCGGAGACTAAGCAGTCTATACTCGACGACTGGACCGACTTTTTGCAAATGGAAATGTCTACCTGTGTAGGAGGGTGTTATTCATACATTAAAGCGCACGAACTAATCTTAAATTCCTCGGGTTGTGTTGCACGATCTGACCAGGCTGGTTAAATATGGTCGAGTTAGCTTTCGGATGTTAAAAGATTTATTGATTATTAAGAATGCTAGATTCTCGGCTTGCACAAACTACCTGTTTGTCTGATTTAGAACAGGCCAGTGGTGTTTCCTTAAGAAATGTTTATCGTAATATCTATTGTTAAAAATATCCAGTCAATGTAGCTTTAAGTGTTTTTAAAAGCGTGAGGGCGATTGGCACTTTCTGGTTTACTACACCGTGAAAGGATACGTCTTAACGTACCTAATAAGGAAACTGAGTTAATGGTGGTCTTAGTGACCCAAGGGAGAAACTATGACCCTAAGGAACAGTTGCTTGGGGCCGGTCATACAGCTATTTTATACGTAGTCTTATATGCGTTAGCTTCGTACTTTTAGAACCTTATCTCCAGCGGAAGTCTATGAGATAAACTGAGGTGTAGTATTCTTATGGCTACCTTTTCTAACTTTCTGTTGTGCAAAAGAGTATCGCTACAGATAGTGGTTGTCTGTAAAAAACACACTACTATTATCATACTCCAGTGCAATCTGTAGTACAATTTCGTCTTAAGTTTCTCCTTTTATTCTAGCCACTTTCCAGCTTAGCCTCTTCGTTACTATTTCCCTTTATTTATTTATTTGAACACATAAATATTGGTACAAGGAGGCACCAAATATATATGCGCCACACATTTCCATTAGAAATAATCAAAGACATTAACTAGATAGACTTCCTACTTTTTTCTCGTGATTTTTGCATATTTCCTATTTCATCTTTTGAAATTTTCTATTTTTCAGAGTTGTGTAAGTGATGCAGAACCAGTCAGTAAATCAATCGAATAATCATCAAACAAAACGTAGCTCATATGCAAATTACGGTAAACAGCTTCAGAATTCAGTGTCTGGCCAACAACCACACCAACAACAACAGATTTGGCCGTCGTCTTTGCCAACAGGTTGGAGACGTGAAGAATGTATGCGACCTAATGGATTAGGCACTGGGAAGTCAGATGTTTATTATATTAGGTAGTCTATGTATTACTAGCTAATCTCATTGATTTCTATTTCTCTCCCTCCCTCCCATATTATTTGGCAGTCCTCAAAATCAAGTTGTACGAAATAAACAAGAAATGCAAACAATTTTAGGTGATAAATATGATATTGGTCTGTTTGATTGGAGAATGGGTAAATTTGTGATGAGCAACAACAACAGTAATAATAATACTAATAAGTCGAAAAGGCTGGAAGAACCAACTGCAGACACATCAGCATCGTCACCATCAGCTAAAGGTATAAATATTTTGTTAAACTACTTATAATCTTAAGTTCCGCGTGTAGATAATCAGTGTAGTTTACCAATGAGAAGGTGTCCATTCCCGATAACAAATGACGTTAAACCGGTTATTGTACGTTCTCATCCTGAGTGTAAGCGAACAGATGTAAAGAATATCAATCAAGAAACTCCTCATCAGGTAAACATTTCAAAAAAATGATTGGCTTTACTACAGTTATTTTGGGAAAAACGATTAGCTGACCATGTGGCTATTGATCCGGATACTGGCGAATCTTTCAAACCCTTTTTTTTGCCTAAAGGAATACAGAGTAAGTATCACATATGATTCAGTTGTGTATATATTGTTATTTATTATGTGTGGTGCATTTTGATGTACCTGTGACGTATAATCCTATGGATTTCTTAGTCATGAGGGTAATAAGGGTAATATTATAATAAAACGTTATTCTGGTCGTTATCTTCACCTCCTAATCGGCCACTTAAAGTAGAAGGAGCTCGTTTACCGATAAGTATAAGTATTTCGATCATTGCTCTAGGTCTTTTGCGTTAGTGGTCAAGAGAATGTAATTTTTTTATCAGTGGGTGCTTACTAGTTATAAGCGCGCTTTATGTTCAAATGATCTGTTCAAGCGAGCAATATACAACAGTTTGAATATATAACAGTAAATGTTTACTTTGGAATACATTTATATAAATCACTCTTTTCCTCTTATGCTAGGTGCTGGAGTACCAGGTTATCAACCTGTTCAGTTAGTCCATAGTTTAATTCATGCGTTGTCATCATCATCCTCTAAGATTTCTCCAATTATTGGTCAAGAGCAACAACCTTCAGCTATTGAGAAAAATCCCTGTGTTGTTATTAATCATTTACAACCAATGATTAAGGTACGTTCAGCTATTTTATAATAACTATGCACTCTTGCTGTTATCTATCTCGACCAATTTATTTCATAAATCACAATGTCTTGAACTGACTGAAGTTCAAAACGTAAACTAGTAAATTCTAACTCCGTAGTTTAAAGTTTAAGCACTCACCATGACAATTGAACGTCCTGGGTTGCACTTTCGACTGGGTCGTGGATACGCGCTGCTGAGGAGTCCCATACCATACTAGGACAAAACAAGTGCCCAGTACCTCACTGTTTTCACTAGTCATCCAGGTTCAGTTCGTGATGTAAACCTTAAAATCGAAAACAGCTGATAATCATTCTTGTCAGGTGTCATTACATTGACTATATTTGTTTTATTTGAACGCATAAATATTGGTACAAGAGAGCACCAAATATATATGTGCCACACAAAACAGTGAAAATGAGAAGAGAAAAAAGAAGGTAAGGAGCGTAAAAGAGAAAAAGAAGGACAGTAACGACCAGATTAGTGTAAGGTAGTGTAATTATAATAATAATAATAATAATAATAATAATAATGGGGGAGACGGAAAGGTACAACCAAAAGAAATCTTCCAGTTGAGGGAGATACAACCACTTTTTATGAAGAAAGTAAAAGGAGGTTACAGCAGGATCGCCACTGAATTATATTCTGAGCCATATCTGATAACGTCTCTAGCCACCGTGTCACACCATCTCTCGGACCCCAACCAGAGAGTCGTGAGGGACCAACAGAAACCTGTTCTGTATAGTTTTCTCTCGTACCCCGACACCATGTCATACACTGACCACCTCTCGGATTACATGTTCACCACATTCCTCGTAAACACTAAATACTTATTTAACCTATAGTTAATCCAATACCGATGATTAATTGATCACAAGAGTCGCTTTATAAGTAATACTAGCTAATATCAGTCACTATCATTTTACATGTGCGCGTGTATATACCGTTTCTAACGTAACAATAATTTTTTCCAAATATTCACCTTTCACCTAAAGAATTTACATTCCTTGCTGTCAAATGGTCTGTTTTTCTCCATTAAATGCCAATTATTTCCTCCCAACAACAGATATCCGAACACGATGAAAACTAGCTAAAAAAATAACTCACATTTTTTTTAGCTCGTTTGTCTTTATATTAGTCTCATTTAACGACTCAATTTCGAAGTTTGCAATCGATAAAGTCTGTGATGATATTTCGCTAATGATAGCATGTTTGGGATACATTTCTGACCTAAATGCACAAATGTTGTTTCAGAACTAGTCTTTATCATCACAAGATTACATACTACTTATAAGCAATCTTGTCAGTCTGATCTTCTGAATAACCTGGTTTCCTTCGTTTTTAAAAAATCCCTTGACTAGACATTTATTGTAACCGATGACGATATACGTCGACAAGAAGCTCGTGTCAAAGAACTACGAAAAAAACTGGAAATTGCAAGAAAAAAATTACATCCGGTAAGTGGGCTTTTTCTTTGTTCAATGAAAAAATCTGTAAAAGTATAGAAATGAAGCAGTCAGAACTGAGGAAATTACTTTCTAGGAAAGAATGACTCGTCTATCACATCAAATGAACAACAGAAATACTTTTTTATGATGCTCAGATCATTTAAAATTCTTAAGAATTGTTCTTTTTGTGGTGAAACTGTACCATACCGACGACCTGAAACTATTTTAAGAGCGACTTTAAGACCAGTCAATCAGTGAATAGCCGATCGGGGTGCGTCTATCGTGAGTTTATTTATTTAAACACATAAACATTGTTACAAGCGGGCTCCAAATATATATGCGACACACAATAACAATAAGGTTGTGAAGAGATAATGTAAAGTGGGTATAATAAAAAATAAGAATAACAATGAACAGAAATTAGTGTATAAGAGTGAAATAATAACAATGGGAAAAACAGTTCAGTTAGGAAAAATACAACCCGGAAGAATTCCTTCAGTTAAACTAGTTATGTTCATTCTTATGAATAAGGTTACAACAGGATCACCACTGGCTTATATTCTGAGTCATGTCTGATCATGTCTCTAGCCACGGTGTTACACCATCTCTAGGTCCACAACCATGGAGTCGTGAGGGACCAACAGAAACCTGTTCTGTATAGCTTTCTCTCGTAC